CCTTGGTCAGTTAATCTTACATACCAAGCTTATCGTGCAGAACCTCCCTAACCATTGAGGAGTAGTCTTATCCTGCCCTTGCTTAACCCCAGGATGTATGTCTTGCAAGAATAATGTATAGTTGTGGAAAATTACTATGAGTTAAGTGCTTTGAAAATGCTATATAAACCCTTGGCTCTGAGTGCTCAGGGTCCTTGTTGAGACCCGCTGCATCGGGCTGACATTGGACCCCAGCTAGCTGGCTGAATAAAGACTTTGCTTGAATTTACATCTCTATGCCTGTGTAGCTTGTTCTCTGGAGAAGCCTCGGAAGCCCAGACCCTAACACTCATCTGAGACTGTCTCACTGCGCCGGCCAAGGAAAGCCCCTGCATGCAGGACCAGTGTCAGCCAAAGGCACATGGGGACTCGCCAAATCAGCTACGGCTTGTCGCCTGCTCAATGACTCTCAGCCTGTCACCCACTCCTAAATGACATGACGGGTATTTATTTTATCAGAACCTCAGCTGTTTGAGAAAAACGCTATGACAGCAGCAGAAACAGCAGTCACTCATTTTGCAAACTTTCTGTTCTCTTTTCAGAGTGCCATGCTTCTTATTTTTCAAAATCAGTAGTGAGCATATTTTGGAGAGTGACTAGAAATTTGGGATAACTATAGCAAATTTCACCCCCCCCCAAAAAAAACTAAAAATAGAAATACCATATGACCCAGTAACCCCACTTCTGGAAATCTACCCAAAGAAAACAAAATTCCTGATTTGAAAAGATACATGCACCCCTATGTTTACTGCTGCATTATTTACAATAGCCAAGATGTGGAAGCAACCAAAGTGTTCACCAGTAGATGCATGGATAGATAAGATGTGCTACATATACACAATGGAAATTATTCATCCATAAAAAAAGAAATCCTGCCATTTGTAACAACATGGATGGACCTAGAGGGCATTATGCTCAGTGAAATAAGCCAGGCAGAGAAAGGCAGATACCACATGATTTCATTTATTTGTGAAATCTAAGAACAAAACATAACAAAATGAACAAAATAGCAGGAGACTCACAGACACTGAGAAGTGACTGGTGGTTACCATGGGGGAGAGAGGAGGGGAATAAAAGGGCACAAAAATTCTGAATCATAACATAAGTTGCTCATGGGGATGGTAGCGCAGCATGGAGAATACAGCCAATGATTCTGCAGCACCTTCCTGTGTTGACATTAGCTGTACTAGTTGGGGTGAGGATTTAATAATATGGGTAACTGTTGAACTGCTGTGTTGTATACTTGAAACCAATACTGAAAAGAAAGGAACGACACACAGCATCAATTCACCGGAGAATTCCGCTTTATTAGGGAAAGGTGCTGGGTTATATAGGAAGGGGCATGAGCTGATTGAGGTGTTACTTCTACGGGGCTGGTGGCTATTGGCTAGGTGCTGGGATTAGGGGGGGCGAGGGGTGAGTTCGCCATCTTATGGGTGGGGGCCTTTCATTCCCCCCTTTCTCCTCTATGGGGTTGTGGACATTCCTTTCTCTCTGACTGCTTCCTGCTGAACAGGGGCAGAGAAGGGAGTGAGGGCTTGAGGACTGGGAGGAAAGGGTTGATAGGACTCCCTACAGTAAGGACGAGTAGATGTGGAATTCTTCAGGTTGGAAATCATTGAAGGTTCCCTGTAATCATAGTTCGAGAATTTGTTGATTCTAATGGTGGTGCTAAGAGGATACGGGTGCCAGAAGCCAGGCGTCTGCAGCCATTGTTTCCAGGAACAGTTTCCAGCAGAGAGAGGGGTCCATCTCAGCATGTGGTGAGAAGGTTACGTGAGGGT